AAAGAAGTGAAAGGTTGCAACGTGGTGAGGGCAACTAAGCACCACACACCTGCTTGCTCACTCTCCCTCAGGGGGATGGAGGAGAGAATCAGAAGGGTAAAAGTGAGAAAACTCCTGGGTTAAGATAAGGACACAAATAGGTAACCCAAAAGCTGTGCACACAAACAAAGCAAAATAAATAGATCATTCCCTACTTCCCATTGGCAGCCAGATGTTTAGCCGTTCCCAGGCAAGCAGGGCTTCATCACGTGTAATGGTTACTTGGGAAGAAAAATGCTGCAATTCTGAATGTCCCTCCTTCCTCCAGCTTTTACTGCTGAGCATGATGCAGTATGGTGTGGAATATCCTTTTGGTCAGTTGGCATCAGCTGTCCCAGCTGTGTCCCCTCCCAGCATTGTCTGTCCCCAGCCTTCTTGCTGGGGCAGCATGAAGACCTTGATGCTGTGTAAGCGCTGTTCAGCAGTGTGTTATCAACACTGCTTTGGTCAGAAATCCAAAACACAGTGCCATACCAGCTGCTATGAAGAAAATTAGCCCTATCCCAGGCCAGACCAGTACACAAAGCCATATCTGATTTGTCTCCCAAGTTTTATAGACAGTTGTGTACTCTCTTATGTATTAGGTTTTTTCCCTTTTCTATGCAGGCCAGTCTTGAGCAGAATACCTTTCAAGCAGGTCTACTTTGCTCTGTCATTGCTAGGTAGTGTTTAAGCCCCAGTTTTCTTATAGGTTGCAAATAACAAGTAAAAGTTAATTATTTTAAAGCTTTTCCTTTTCCCAGCTTCATCAGTTGGGTTAATAAAGTATGTTCTTTTTCTCCCCTCTTTCCCCATTTCTTAAACAATGCCTTGGTAGTAAATATTTTGAATAATGAAATACGAAGTATTGTGGATGTAAGGTATGTAACTGCTTACATCATCTTTAATAATTGTGATATAACAAAAATCTCCTGTGACAGTGATATACTGTTACAAAGAGTAAAAATATGCATTTAAATTACACTAAGCAGTAAGGATGGACTTTTTTTATGCAAGTAAACTAAGTACAAATACAAATGGCTAAAGGCAATTGTTAATCAGTCAGGGTGCTAATGACCTACGCAGCATTATCATAATGTTCCTGGAACCTTGTTGCATGGCTCATGATTCCATCACTGTAGAACCAAAATACAGTTTTGTTTCTACAGCCAGCGGAGAGAACAGAAGCTTCGCCACCTTTGGGACTCCAAGGATTTACTTCTTCTAGTGCAATAGAAGTTGGGGAGAAACAGCCTCAGCTGGAAAGGTAATACAGGATTTTCTTGACCAACAATGAGAAAATTTGTGGGGATAATTAGTTGTGAGTAATATTGGATCACTAACAGAGAGACTGTTTCCACAGACAGAATGGAATATACCCCTAGGCATCAGCCTGCAGCCAGGATCTGTAATCTGTTTTTATATAAGTTTTATTATTTGTCTGAGGGATCTTAACTTCTTACAACTAGTCTATGTCTGCTGGGTTTGCCATTTTTACAGAGTTTACTTATGTTTTGTGAAGGTGTGTAAAATATAAGAAAGAAGTTTGTATCTTTTTCACAGTGCATCCCAGGTCTCTGAAGATATTCAACTACATAAACCATCTTGTTCTGAGGGTAAGTATTAAAGTTTTTTACCATTAAGGAGAAGGCTGTGTTAAAAGGAAGCGTTCTTTTATATGAATAGCAAGACTGCAACAACATAAAAGTCTAGGTGGATTAGAAGAATTAAAATTAGAATGTGATAGTGTTGAGTGTCTTTAAACATATTCAGCAGAAGACCAAGTGTCTGAGGTCTGAGAACTGTCATTATTTGAAAGGACTTAAAAGCAGAAGAGATTTTTCTTCTAATAGCTGAAGAACTTTCTCACATATTCATATAAGCAGTCTTACTAAAATCTGTATAAAAACTTTAACACTAAGATAGTATCAATCTTAAGTCCTTCTTTATCCTCAGAGGATTTGGTAGAGAAATACAATCAGAAATTGTATATTTGGTTTTGTTGTTGGGAAGGGGGCATGCTGAAGAAATGTACTTTTGACCCGAACTGACTACTGCTGCTGTTGACAGAGGTTATCCCGTCTCTTGATGTGTGCCCAGATACACAACGGGGAAATGTGGTTTTAGACTCTGAGGAGGAGCAGAGGAATGAGGCCACCCTTGGAAAAAAAGGTACAAATTCTGAAGTATATTCTGAAAAGAGCAAGCTAGCTACCATCATATAGTGGTGAAATTGTGGTGCATTAACATGACAAAACCAAGCTGTTTTTCCAATAGGTTTCTTTAAATGTCGGTTCTGTAACTTCCTGCTAGGACTGATGTTTTTAAGGCTGTGTATTAAACGTTTTAAATAGCATTGGATACACTGTTGTGGAAAAACTGTTCATACAGTAGAGCCTCTTGGTTTTTCTTTACAGATGTAGGTCTCCTTCCCCCACCAGATCCTGCTGCATCTTTCTCCATATTTGTTGAATCCTCTGCTCTGTCAAATCAGAATATAAGGTAGAATTATTCAATACCTAGATTACAGAGGGGGGGACAACTGAAGTATCAAACAAACCACTTTCTGTAGCAGCTTAAATACAGTACTGCTTCTTGGATGGATGTGGGGTGGTTTTCTGTTTTATTTCATTACTCTGCTTGGGAAGTCCATGATGAAATACTCTCCTCTTTTCTTCCTCCTCAATCTAGAACTATTTAAGCTGCTACATAAACTTTCTTCATTTTGTAGTGCTGTGTATATTGCAGTTACTGCTAATTCTCTAGTAGACAGTGGTAGATTGAAACTGTCAGGAGATTTAAACTCTCGAGAGGAATCTCTGTTGAAGATTGGAAGCTACTCTAATAAATATTTAATGGAATGTAACTTTCTCTCAGCTGTTCTGCAGCTCATGCACAGAAAAGTGCCCGGCGCCCTCTTGCTGTTCGTAAACCTTCAGAGCCTCTAACTGCGAAGGAAAACGTTCCACCAGAAGCCTGTGTAAGGAAACAATTTACCCCACAGCAGATTTCCTGTCACAATGTCCTACTGTTGAACTGAGTGAGATTGGGTGGACTCACATGATGTGCAATAAGCAGGGGTTCTAAATTTCTGTCTGGCATGGCAATACTTGAATTGGGTGGTGTTAAGATTACACTGGAAATTTCGTGGTTTTATTAGGCTTTAAGGTGGCCAATAGGGAGATGATGATAAGGAGTTTTCCATATTTTAAGCAACTGATTAGTGGCCAGGGTTAGTCACACTGAAACTTTTAAAGTTTGGAGTTTGTGTGATGAAGATTTGCACTCGTAGACACTACCTCTGGCTTCATCCAAACAAGTGTCTCAGCTCCTGTGTTCCTCACACCAAGTACCATATGCTCAACTTCCTTAAACCTTCATCTCTTGTTTCCTAAGCTGTGTGCTTTTGTTTGTAAAGCTTTCAATAGAGATGGTAGTTGCTGTCTCACCAGAGGACTTGGTTACTGCTGCAATAGGCCTTTAGATTGGTTGAGTGAGAGGATTTTATTCTGAGCTGAGAAGGGTTTTATGTATAGCCACAATATGAAATACTTATCAGGGTTAAGCATGGTAAACCATGCTGATTTTGGTTCTAAAGTCAGTCTGGATACCTGCTTAGTTCTGCTTTACATATTGTATGTGCCTTCAATGCCCAACTCTTTAGTAAACACTTTGATAATGTGCTTATAACTGAACTGAACTGCGCTTATGGGGTGGTAGGTAGTAAGTAGCCTTTAACAGATCAGGGCAGCCCTGCAGCACTCTGGAGGGAACAAAGCTACACTTTCTAACTGGGAAAAAATATGCAACAATATGACAGTGAGGGTTCAGTTACTCAATCTGAACGAGCGATGTAAGTAGAGTACATGAGGACTGAGTGTCAGATTCACGTTGGAAGGCAGTGGGGTGGAAGGAAGGGGAGAGAAATGTTTGGCTTTTAAATAAATTAAAAGAAAATTTGCCACAAAATGTGCAGGCTTTTCACTGTCTCTTCCTACTTTTTTCAGGATGAGCTGAATGGAATTGAACCTTTGACTGAAGATGCGATTCTGACAGGCTCGTACAAGAACAAAACCCTTTGTGCCAACCCAGAAGACACGTGTGACTTTGTTAGGGCTGCACACCTGGCCTCAACGCCCTTTCATGGGGTGGTACCTCAGCGAGTCCCAGCTCCTGCTTTTTCACAGAGTGTCCTGAAGGAAGACTGTCCAGAATCTAAGAGTGCACCTCTGAATCAGGAAACGTTGGTTTGTGAGGGAGCGTACAATGAAGCTCTTTGTGTAAATAAACTCAGGTAATTAACAACAAAGCATATTAAGTCCCTTTCCTTTTCCTTTTTTTTATTCTACCAAATAACTTGCAAAGAAATTAATAAACACAATCTATCTGTGTGACCAGAGATTAAAAGTAGAATCATCAGTTCCTTTTATACTTGTATGCTTCTGGAGTTATTTTAGTATATAAAATGCATCTGGTGATTATAGCTTAGATTTCTACAGAGGAGAAAAGCTGGAGAGAAGAAAAAAACTGGCAAACAACCTCCTGTTTCTTAGAGTTGTAAATTAAAAAGCATCTGTTGTATGGGGTTTTCTTAACTTAGAACTGAGTTTGATTTGCTAGCTGTTGGTGTGTAAACATGTACACCATGCTGAAGGTGGTTGTTTATTTGGCAAGTTCCCTGGGAAACTGTGCTGATTATAATTAGAAAGGAAGAGCAAGAATCATTTCCCAGCCAGCCCTCCACTGCTTTCAGAGCACTGTAGGTCTGAATTTTGGTAACAAAGGGTGTAATAAACATTCAGTTTGTCTTCTGTTGTAGCAGTCGTATTTAATGGAAGAGAAGATAAAATTAATCTGTAGACTAAGATTCTGAGTATAAACAATCATTGAAGCTAAAATGAAGCTCTGACATAACTACAGGTCTTCCAGTAAGGATGGGAAAGGACTTATGTTTAACATAAAGACATCTGGGAGTGCACAGCATCCTTTCATAGTCACTAGGCTGGCATTATCCAGACACTGTATCTTCTGAAGTCTGAACAGTTGATGACTTTACTTACAGCCCGATCATGGAAGCAAGCCTGGAAGATACTCGCTCGTCAGGTTCTGTCTCCTCAGGATCTTCTCTTTCCTCTGTTACACAAATATCTACTATGAAATACCTGCATATCCCTGAGAAACTGGAACTGGCTCAGAGCTTGCCTGCTGAAACGGTTACTGATTCTGGAGGTATCAGTGGAAACATTGCTGGTTAATACTACACTGAGTTTCACTCACACTCAAAACTCGCCACTCAACTGTGGTGCTTTTTCTGTACTTCCTATAGTCTGCTCTGCTTTCTCTGTATTTCCCATTACTTTGCCCTGTGACTAAACTTGTCTCTCCCTTGTCAGAAGTAGTGGTATGCAGTATAACGTGCTTGTCAGCATCCAAAATAAGTAAATATTAAGGTGATGGAGAAATTCTTTAAGGTATTAAGGAGTGTGTAAGTGAGGTCAAATTCTGAAATGAAAATTGTGACTGGATCGTGGTGGTGAAAACTTCTATGGCAGCTTTGTTTTGTCTTGATTTTTTTTTTCCCCTCTCTTTAATCATACTGTGTGTTCTCTTGATGTGCTGAGAAGTGCCATGTTGAAAAAGGTGAATATGAATTTGAAATCTGGTGAAAGTTGCATAATTTTGGTTTCAGATTTGGACTCTTAACTTTGCTTTAAACTACTGTGCTGCTTTGCAATATATTTCTTTTTCCTGTTGAAGGAAAAATATACTGGTACTTAATGTCACATTTTTTTTTTCTTCTAGCCAAAGACCTTTATTTCTCTCTGTTATAAATCTTACAGTTAGAACAGGGATGCTCACAAAAAGCCATAAAAACCTGGCCTATTGAATGACTTTTCTGCCTATTATACAGGAAAATAAACCCAGACCTACATGTAATTTTCTTATGTATCTTCCATGAGGTAAAAGACATTAAATTCTTAATATTGCAGTGAGCAGCAGAGTTGGAGTCCAACTTTGTTTTCCTTTTCTTACATAATATCCCTGCTGTATTCACAGGAGTGAATTTCAATAAACTCTTCATTTAAAAACACAAACTGATCACTTACTGTGGACATAGGTTTAAAAAAGGAGTGTGAACTTGCAAGATTAATTAGAATTCTGCTGTGGCTGAGCAGACGTACCTAATCTAATTCAGAGCTTTGTCTCTTGTGGAAGATACATCTTGCATGATGCTGCAGTGGAATCATTGAGACCTCATGATGACATAGTCTGTAAGGTGGCCTCAAAGATGAGTATTATGCTCACTTCACAGAGCAAGAAACTGTTGGAAAGAGATTAATTGACTTGCTGAAAGGTGATGCCGTTAATCAGTATGCAGATAGAAAGCTTCCAATATCCAGGTTACTTTTTCTTGGCAGATATAATCAAGTGACCAAGTCTCAACACCTAGTTTCAGCTCATCTGTTTCTATTACTTGCCTTCCTAGGTGATGATGTCACTCAGGTCTTGTGGAGCACTGAGCAGCGTAAAAAGCTTTTAGATCCTATGCCAGAAACGTTGACTGCTGCTCCAGATTTTCACTTGGAGACTGGTGCCCTGCCTGTCATGGAGCTTGAGAAGGACGTGGAGCTGGGTAGGTATGCCAGAGACTCTACACTGCAAGGGATCTATTCATGTTCTAATTAGTTTGAAATATATATCTCGTATTCACCCTCGCTAGTTATGTGTGGTGTGGATGGGGACAACTGGAACAGCCTGGGTACATGTATTTGCTGTGACAGCTCATGAGTGTAAACTTTCATAACAGGAAATGAGACTTACTCCATCAAATGGGAATATTGGACCAATGAAGAGTACAAGATGCTTTTTGCCATTCCAGCTAACTTTCCCCAGCTGGATGCAAAGGGATTTGCAATAAAGGTACCACATATGATGGTTATTATACAGAAAGTGTGAAATGTTCTAATCGCCTCAGCTAATGTAAATTAAAATGTAGTAAGTTTGTCCTTAATTTCTGAATTCTGTGCATGAAGTTTGCTACGTCAGGTTCTCTTTCTAGTTGTTGAGACAGATTAAAAGTTTCTAACTGTGGAAAATGTCTTTCTTGGTAAAGTGCAGAGGAAAAAAACAGGATGGGAAGAATATGAAGATGATAAATTTTCACTTTATTCCAAAAATAAATGTTCTTCTTATGTACCTTCTTGTAGGTGTATTCTCAGCCTGTGCCTTGGGATTTTTATATCACACTTCAGTTACAGGAGCGTTTGAATACTGATTTTGACCAAAGCTTCAGTGAGAATTGCAGCTGTTACTTGTTTCCCGATGGCTGTGCTATTTTGCACAGGGATATAAATCGCTTCACGCTTGGGGTCAGTACAGATAAACAAAGTACAATTGTAGAAGACAAGAAATCTTGCATAGGTACCCTTAGTGAATTTTGTTTGTCATTATGCTCACTGCTGAAGCTAGCTTCATGTGTTTAGTCCTGCAATCTAGATCCTCTGGCTTTTGTTTTATCTATACCCAAACTGGGACTGTCTATCACAGCCTTAGAGCTGGTTTCTCATTCACAGACCATGTGCTTCTCAGAGACAAACTTGAACCAATTCTCCACACTTTTCTTTATTCCTGAGTGGTAAATGACCTGAGCTGAGAAACAAATGTTATTCCACAACAAGGTTCACATCTAAAACTCTTGTTTAACTTGGCATCTTTCAATAAGTTCCAGTCTCCCAGTCTGCTATAGCAAGTGTCTTGCTGAAGGATTTACATTTTAAATTAAGTATTGTAAGTGCATTTTGAGTTGTAGCCTATAAATAGGATACAAATTAAATAGTGATTTCAGTCTTCAGTTCAATTTCTTCCTCCCGACCTTTTGTCCACTTCAGGATAATAGTGTCTCCTGAGAGCTCATGGTTCTTTAATTTCTGGCTGGGCTGCTCATAGGTAAAATCTGACTATACTGAATTTAGGGTAGGACTGTTATCTCTGTACAGATGAGTAAGGAAAAAAGGTGAGCTATAAATGTTTCACTTAATCTATGGTAGAATGGCATATAGATACGTGTTTGTTCCCTGTTTTCAGGATGTTATTCGTGGCTGTAAATCCATCACAGAGGAAGTTATCCTGCTGGTTGTTTATAATCTTCTGGGTGTGGTAGAGAAGCTCCACAAAGCAGAGATTGTCCATGGAGATCTGAGTCCAGAGGTGTTCTTTCTGGGAGACAGGTTTGTCTCTTTGCATGAATATGAGGGGGTCTGTAATACTCAGTTTCAGCTACAGCTCTTGTGCTTTTGTAGTTTCTCCTCTTTAGCTGGGATACTGATATTGCAGTCCAGATCTTTTAGGCTATGGTATATTCTGATAATAGTGAAGATACTTTGTTTAGGAATAAACTTTTCTTTTGTTTATTTCTATAGAAATAGTAAAACTTATACTAAGCAAAATGTTTGTGCTGTTGCCTGTGTTCTCAAGTTTCTACTGTACTAATGTACTAGACAGCTAACGAGATATTGATAAATAACTTGCCTTCTGGTTTTATGTATCTGAAAACCAGATAGTTTTCCTAGTGTGTAGACGAGGAAAGATGTATTTAAGTATTATGAAGCTTAATTATTTCTTGTATAAAATATTCTGAGATCTTGAAGGAGAGGGACAAGTGCTAAACATCATGCTATTTTCCCATTCCACCACCTGTGTTTCAGACAACAGTGACAAATATCAAAGCAGCGTTATCCTTAACCATTTAGTGCTTCTCACGGCTTCCTCTGTGGAGATACTGATATCGCCTCAGCTTCGGGCTGCAAGCTGGTTCCCCAGCCAGGGGTAGTCCTTTCAGCAGTAGTTCTTAAGGCAGCCATCAGAGGGGAGCATTGATGTAGCTAAAACTCACCTTCACTGCACTGTTAAATTTAATTTAAAGAAAAATAAAAAGCTTGTTGGGTTGTCTTATGCTTCATTTGCTTCCTCTGCTCAGGATCTGTGATCCATTTGGTAATGATGAAATGACAAGAGCTCTGAAGATAGTGGATTTCTCTCACAGTCTAGATTTGAGATTACAGTCTCAAGTAAATTTGCCCAACAGCTTTCCAATATCTCGGACCCCTCATGGGCAGCAGCTTCTGGTGAAAAGTTCTCCTCCTTATCAGGTGAGTATCTGTTTAGCAGCACATCTTAGTTTCTGTGTTTCCTTTACACAAATCTCTATTTTCTTAAGTTATATTTTGTAAACTCTGTGGAAAGCTTTGATCAATAAATACTGAATGAAGATAGTTTTTGATCTGATTAAATCTTTAGCACTAAGTGAAGGGACCAGCAGCGCTGTTGAGTGCCTGTGACTGCTGCATTTATTTAGGAACATACCATAAGACCAGAATTTTCCTTTTTGTAGATTTCTTTCTTAGCAGGTCTCTGGAAGATTCTGATGCAAAGACCAACGCAGATTTAAATGTGTAAAAGTGCCAACAGTATAAATCTGTAGTGGACTGCAGAAGTTGAACTTTCTGATGTTTGTTGTGATTGCAGGTAGACTTGGTTGGCATTGCAGATATAGTCCATTTGATGCTGTTTGGGGATCATGTCCAGGTCTATCAAGACAATTCCATCTGGAAAATCAGCCAAAATGTATCAAAGTAAGTCCTTTTGCAGAGGAGGCTGCTGGGAAAGAACAGACTACTTCTAACTTCCTTCACTTCTCAAGGGTACCATCTCCAAAGCCTGGAACACAGAACTTAGTGCTGTTGTTGCCAAAAGCCTTGGTTCTGTGGGGACTCACAATTTGAAGCTACTAGACTTGTTCATTGTGTGGCAGCCTTAGTGCTGTGTGGGAGACAACTTTAAACTCAATATGAGCCGAACAGCCCAGTTAAGATGAGTTTGCTTTTTCTATCGTTTTAGACCAGACTGTAGTCTCTCTTTTTACTTGATAGACCAAGCCTGGAGAAGTTTATAAGTGGGTGGGTGGTGAGGAAAAAAATTACATGAGCACATTGCTTTAGAAATGGAGATTATTTGTTTTTTCTGCCTTTTTCGTTCTTGGCTCTCTTGAAGGGCTACTAAGACACTGATGCTGGGGTTCTGTCTGTAACAGCTGCAGAAATGGTATACATGCACAAGAAGGAAAAGAACTGAAAATTATAATTTAAGATGCATCTGCAAGCAGCTTCATTTTGGAAGCTGCTGTTTGTCCTCAGGTATTAATTTCTACTGCCCTCTTTTAGCTGCGTGTTTTGGCCATAAGACGACTCTGCTTTCATCTACCCTTTGTTTGTTCTTCGACTAAACGCTTGTTCACTTTGTTAGTCACGTCCTGCAGAATTTAATGCCTTAGCATTTCAGAAGGGTTTCCCAGAGTGCTCTGCTCATGACAGAAATTACTGGAGAGATGCCTGCATTCAGGGTCAGGTTATATTAGCCACGCTCACTGTGTGGATGTACTTCTATAACCATTGCTTTAAGGAAACCTACTGCCAACCTGGGAGTTGTCCAGTTCCCTAGCAACCTGCAGCACTGACACCTCCCAGTTTGTTGTGTTCAACCTTTGGAAAAAAAAAAAAAAGAATCTCATCTTAAGCTGGGTACAGGGGAAAAATGCATTTTCCTTTGCTTGGCACGTATCTGTTTTTCTATATTCTTATAGACTGATATCAGTAGTTAGGAGGCTCTAGCAGCTTCTGCTGAGTGCTCACTGTGCAGCCATCCTGCCATCCTGTACCCTGATGCTTTTGGTTTTTCTTCAGAAGGTCAACTCACGGGACTAGGCTGTGAGGAACAAAATCAACAAGGGTGATTGCTCTTTGGAGAGAGGAATGTCAGTGATGTATATGTTGACAGTAAAACATGTATCTTATACTGCCTTTGTTTCAGAAAGTAAAAAAAAAAGAGTAACTAAATCATTGATGGAGACTGGCTTTTGCTCTCTACTGGTTCTGACATTGCATGTCTGTGATCTAAGCAGATCTGACCTGCTCTGAAAAACAGAACTCCTGTATATTAATTTCTATTGGAACATGTTTTTAACAATATTCTGTTGGGATAGAGGAACAGATTTCTGATAAGTGTTGCCTTTTTAAAATTTATTTTTTAAAAATTTAATTAATTATGCAAGAGATTAAATTGAGCTACTGCAGATGAAGGCACAACTTCTGTTTGTAACACTGCAACTGTTACAGACAGAACCCTGGCATTGCTGTCCCTTCAATAGGATTTGATAGGAAAAGTGGCTCTAAACCACTTTTTTTTTTTAATCTCTTGCAGCTTTCCTTTACTATTGACCTGTGAACTTAACTTGCAAATGGGGGATAAGGTTTACCTCTGTCCCTTATTCATGAAGGGAATTTGCCAACTTTGGTTCAAAGAATGCTCTTGATAACTCCTTCAATTGAAAAGTGCTCAGTGTGAGTGGTGATAGTCAGGTACACTAGAAGAGATGACACTAAAAATAACGTTTTTGATAGACCTGTGGAACAGCCAGACTGGTTACTGTCCAGAAGCCTCCTGGAGACAGAGAAAGGGGCCGACATGTATAAAGTTAATAATACATTCCTTTACATTTACTCATGTGAGTGAAATTATTATTTCAGACTTGGTTTTCCCAGGGCATTTAGTGCTGAATATAAATGGAGATCCTGACAGGCGTGCTGTGTGTGCGTACTGTTTGACTGAAAACTGCTCTCTTTGTTTTAGGACTGTTAATGGTGATTTCTGGAGTAAACTTTTTGGGAGAATTCTGAATGCAGATGGTAAGTCCACAATGCCTCTGCTGAGGGAGTTAAGAGAGGAAATAAGTGACATGTTTGACAGCTGTTTCCAAGAACGTCTTTGTGAATCCTTAGCTGCGCTGGGAGAAACTTTCCTCTTGGAGAACTTCCTGTGATTTCATAGAGGACAAATACATTGTGTATTATAGAGAGGATTTTGTTGTTAATTTCTTATTTATTTTTTTCAAGTGTAAGCTTGGACAGTGATTGTAGTTGTTTCTGCAAAACTTCACACGGGACTTGCTCAAGATGGTTGGGATTGCGTCAGTGCGTATCCTACGCCTGCTGCAGGAGCTCATCTGTGTCCCAGCAGTTTGCCAGAGAAGATTCATTGTCATAACTGCTCCTGCCCTTTTTATGTAGCTCCTTAAGAATGTGTTTAATACCTAGTTCACACTGCAGTCTTTGAAGTGTCTTTGTCCTACATTTAGTTGGTCTTTTAACCAGTGTTTCATCAATAAAGTTGTGTTTTGATAGCAGCTCTGTCACATTAAACGTTACTGTCAGATGGGTTCAAAAGACTTGATTTTGTATCCACGCTGGAGTGCTTCTGCCTGACTGGGAATTGTTTGTGGCTGCTAGATAAAAATGTCCCTCATTTGGTGGCAGCTTTCATAACTGCACAGGACTTCCTGGACACTTGAACACAACTTGAATGATTCTATTTGGAATGTGCTCTCATGGATGATTGTCATAAGAAAAAGTAGATGAAGTCATAAGTGAAAAAGACGCATCCTTCTATTTTTGCATCTCAACACAAGTGTTTTATTTACTTTTGCAAGTGCTGGAGTTACTGACTGGATTGAGCATCTTTCAGAAATCTCACTGGAGTCTGACATTGCCATATGTGCTGAAGTGCTTGCAGGTTTTTGTGGGAGGTTTTGTGGATGGATATTTGTGTTAACCTTTTATGCACTGTATTCTTGAAACCAGTACAAAGGCTTGTATTCATTTTATTCAAGAGAACAGAATTTACAGGATCCAAAATGAAGATGCTCTGTACCTTAAGTGTAGAGGAACTTCTCAGACTTGGGGTTTACTTCCTCACAGCTTCTCCCATGTATGAAAGCAAGACTAGAAGACTGCATCACTAGTAATTTCTCCTCCCTATAAAACTAAACTGACTTTAAGTATTTTTTCATTTGGTCAAATTCTTTTGCCAAGGTTCTGTTTGATTCTCCCCTGTTTGTGTTATCTCTTAATTCTGTTCTGGAACTTAATTCTGTATTTTCTAAGTTGCTACAAGCCACCTTCTTTCCTGTTCTGTCTGCATATGTCCATTGTTGCTACTCCTGCTTTGACCTGTGTCCTTTTTGCTCTTCTAGATATCTAATGCTGCCTTCACAGTCCCTTCAGGAAGGCTGTATACTCTTGTAATTCAGGAATAGAACTAAATATGCTGATAGACAAGCTTTAATCTCTCATGTAAACTGCTGATGAACAATTTTTTGTTGTTGTTGTTGTTCATTAATGCCTCAAATTAATGCTTCCTGTAACACAAATCATTAGTCATCTGTTGAGCAAGTAGATGAAATAATGATCTATCTCTAGCCAGAGTTTGGAGCAAAGATCACTAACAGAGCAACTAGGAGCTATGGATTAGACTAACTTCTCTTAGCTCTAGAAGGACTTGCATGTTTGTTAGCGCTTTCCTTTAGTTAAAATTTGTTTTCTTTTGCTGATCTTCTAACTTTTTAGACAAAACCTGGGGGCTCACACTCACTGTCTTCTCATTTTCAACCTTTTCAGTTTATATCCTGCAACACTGATAGGAAAACCAGGTAGCTTAGGAAGAGAACGCTCATAACAAAGTGTTGTCATCCCAAGGACTTCTCAGGCAAGACCTGTTAACAGCTGGCACAGGACTTCACTATCACTTCACCTATTTCATAAACCTTACTCAGACATACAGATAAGAGCTTTCGGAAGAAGTTCAGTAAAATCTGTAAGTGAATCTATTTGTCTTTACTCTAATGAAGTTACTTTAAAGCTGAAACACTCCATTATTGACTAATGTTTCCTGGAGGAAACGCTACACAGTTGGAGTATTACACATCCATCCTACTTTGATTCTGTATGTGATGTGAAAACATCAAACTCTTATTAAAAGAAAGTAAAGGTTACCTTGCCTAAGTAAACCACTCTAAAACTTTGCAGCAGAATGGCATTTCCTTAACAGGATAGTTGGCAGACATAACACAAGTTGTGTGATGTTTATCAATATGAGTGTTAGTCCAACACAGTGCCTACTGAATTTGGCAAATCTATGGTTAAATTTCAGAGTTGGAAGAGCTCTACTGTGAATGTAGGAGATGACTGACAGAACTGTGGAAGATCCACTGTTTCAATGTCCTGGAAAATCAATTATTATTCTTTTAAAAAAAACCCCAAACCCAAGCCGAAAAACCCCAAACCCCACCTAATAAATTGGAAAATGGAATAAATTTCGTTTATTTAGCTGAAAGAAGAAAAAAAATTACTCTATGATGCCCGAGATGTTGCCATTCTTCCTTAGCCTGCTTTCCATTCGAACACAAAGCTGATTTTGCATGTATATTAACTGGTGATAGGGTAACAATATCCTGGTTTTTGGCTACTGAGTCAGTAGTAAATTTTCTTCACTGAAATTACTAATTAGATGCAATTCAAGTACAGTCTAAATGCTATGGATGATACTACACTTGGAATAATATTATTGTCCAGATGATGATCTTTCTCCTATCTCTGTAACCTGCAGTAGGAAAGTTACTTTTTTCTTTTTGTTTTTTTTTTTAATAATAATGCACAGCTTATTTCCCTGCTTCTGAAATGTTGCAGTAGTATCACAGGTGCCTGACACAAAAGGTCAGAAGAGTGGAAGTGATTTGTGACACTCCTGGAAAGCACATATGTGTTGTCCTCCTCCTCAAGCCCGAGAGTCTTGGGTTTTGCCATTTTTCTTACGACCCACGTGCCAGCAGCAGCACTCTGAGCTTTAGATCTGCCGTTGGAGTTGTGACTGGCCAGAGGGTGAGAAGAGGAGGCAAAGCCTGCCCCCATTTCTTTCTCATTCCTTGCTAGGATAGTGCCACAGTGAAAGGTTCTTCAAAGGCTGCAGGTAAGGTTACCTATCAGCTGAGATTTTAACCTCTTAATAAATTAAGAGCAATTTGACTGATGCTCTGGGTGCCTTGAATGTGCACTTCACAGAATAGCCCTGGATGCAGTAACCCACCCAAACCCCAGATACTTTCATTTGAGACTATAGAATACTTGGTCTGCTGCTCTGCTGATGAAGCTCTGAAATGTTTGGGTTTTTGAAACAATTTGTTGGTATTCATAGGGAACCCCTTGGAAACAGCAAGAGTTATGTCAGTGTTGCCTGCTCTTTTATATTAAGTGGAAAGTTGTCTAGAAATAATAGCAGAAACTCACTGACCCCCCAAAAATGCTACAGATTAAAAAATCTAGGCTGCCATATGTGCATGAGATGTACATACACTGCAAATTGTGCAAAAACCACAGGTCTGAGCCATTTTCTGCTCATTAAGCTCTGGTAGCTGCACCTGGGTTCAAAGGAGTCGCTTCCACTGTTTCTAGGGCTCATCAAGATCACTGTCTCCACCTGTGAAACACAGATGATACAGGTTACCTCGTTAGTGGTTGTCTTGTAATGACCAATGTTATGTAACCTTATTACTCCTACTTGACTATGTCAGTGCAAATGATAAGAAAAAGCAGATTGTGACAGTGAAGAACAGCAGAGTGGTTCAAAGAAGCTGCAGAAGCCAACAGGGTGAGTTCTAAAACATTAACACTGAACCAGAACTTACTTTTTAATGTTTCTCTACAGTTATTTACAAAAAGTCTCTTGCAAGCTCTGAAATGAACTTCCTAATACTTTACACAGGTTGGACACAGCCAAGGAATTTGGGGGTTTATGGCTCTCTGAAGTGTAGGTTTCTTGTTCTCAGAAAATTGCATTCTGGATGCTGTGAACAACTGATGAGATTTGAATGTTTGGAAGGTTTTGGACTATTTCAATAAGCTGAATTATTCCAGTTTCTAATATCTTTATATTAATTTGGAAACAGATTAGTGTTTTTTTCTACTTATTGTATGTGTGACTTTCCTCACTACAATGTCATATGGTTTTACAAACAGTCTGTTCACCAACAGCACTGAAGTTTTGCAGAGTTGAGAAGAGACAGTGCAATCACGTTTTAAAAGAAAGTGTTAAAAGGCTTTGGTGAGCTGTTTGTCCTGCCTTTACTATAAAATGGAAAGAATTACAGGAGAAAAAAATCCCAATTATTTTTATGAAGAACACTGTTACTTCACATGTTGTGTCGTTCCGACTGACCTACCAGATTGTGCATTCCATACGTTAATTCTGCTTTGCTTCTACTAAACCTACTAGAAATCAGATCCAACTGGTTTTTAGTTCATGAAATTTATTAATACTTTTAAAAGTAGACAAATTACACCTCTTGCATGTGCATCAGCAAATAATTCTCAATTTTTCCTCTGTGCTGCTGCTGATTTCCCAAATAATAAATATTCCAAAATGGCTTTGGGCTAAACTGTAACTTCTGATGTGTTGCGCTCCGTGCTGTGCACTGGTGATTTCCCCAGCGATGCTTCAGTGTACAAAAGCTCAGTGTTCTCATTCGGAGTGAGTTATTTGACTGTGGTCTTGAGAATTGGTGGTTGGAGACTCTCATTTAGCCTTGGGCTACGGGCACTGCAGTTACATTAATGTGCATGTGCTTAAAAAGATCGCCCTTAAAGACTGCAGCTCCTTGAAGTTTCATTCTCTTGGTTCTTACTATTTTACACTCATCACCCCTCTGCTTGGTTAATCCAGCAGAATGCCACGTTTAGAAACTTAGAAATAAGGATATTTCATTTCTATTCATCCTTTATCTGATAGAATATTTTAAATTATTAAACAAGCATGTGAGCATTGAGGTCACTCAGTAAGACCAGGGAAGAATGCTGTTCCTTTTGTTGGTTTCAGAAATATTTGTTCCCTACTCTCTTTTTGAAATAAGTACCATCCAAAGCTATTTAATTATTGATCCCATGGCTCCAGCTGGTATGGAAGTGTGATTTACAAAGCAGGATCAGCAGCTAAGTGACACAATGCTGATGAAAGACAAATGTTAGTCTTCAGTTTCTGTGCCTGAGCTCATGTTTGTTTTTCCAGTACTTTGGATTCTCTTCATCCACAGTTCCTCAGTATCTCTTGAATTGCACA